GTGGGAGAGAACAAACCAGCTTCCAGCTGAAGAGGAAATCAGGAAAAGACGATGGAAATGGATAGTACATACATTACGCAAATCATCAGAATGCATCGAGGCAAACCCTAACTTGGAATCCTGAAGGGAAGCGGAAAAGAGGAAGGCCATAGAACACATTACATCGGGAAATGGAATCAGGTATGAAAAGAATGAATAACAACTGGAAGGAGCTGGAAAGGATTACCCAGACAGGGTTGGATGGAGAATGCTGGTGAGCGGCCTATTCTCCTTCACAAGGAGTAACAGGTGTAAGTAAGTTATCTTAGATTTAACACAGAGAAAAAACCATGTGTCATTGATTACGATACATAACTAATCATAGTATTTTGTCCTATTCATTAATATCAGAGTAAAAATATACATGTAGAAATATCAGCCCTTTTTATACTATGGCAGAAGGCTTGGTCATTAGATTCTTACTGAACCATAACAATAGTCCATCAAAAAGTCTCATGAAATGAATTTCAAAGAATATGAAAGCGTCCAGACACATCCCTTCTCCGCTAGATGCAAGAATGACTCACCCGTGCACTCTAGTCTAATCAGAGTCCAAAGCTGTCGAGTGTATTGATAACTTGCCTTTGGAAGTTCCACCACTTATGATTTATCCATGGTGTACAGATGAGAAATGCATGTTTGTACAAAACGATGAGTAAGCTGTTCAGAACTTTGATTTTCATTAAATTATTATGAAATAGCCCATGAAGGTTGAAAAAATGAGCAGGTTCCTCATATTTAGTTACATATATCCTTGATGAGTTGTTCAAGTACAGTGAAAAAGCAGTGAGTAGATTTGAGTCTAGGCGTAGAGTATAGAATAGAAATAGCGAATCGATTGGTAAGTTTCGAAACTGTCAACGATTGACTCAGCTAGGACTCGTACTAAACATAACTAGCTGCCAAAAAACGCCGATGTACAATTCTCGTCAGTATAAAAGTTGAAAGACGCTTAGAGGTGACCGAACTAAGACTAGTACCAGCCTTTGAAATAGCTGACTATTAGTCTAAACCTTCTCTGGATAAATAGAATTTTTTAATAACAACTGATTTGCTGTTAAGTAGCTTAAATGACACAGCTCGAAATTAGTGGCAATGTTGAAAATCGATTCATTTGGTATGATTATTCCCATAAGCGAAGTGATTAGGATACACTTGAAACTGGAATATTACACATGATTGTTTGTTCACTGATATTATTCATAATTTGTTAAACTGAGAACGGTTATCCATATATGTATTCTAGTTATCACACTGCAGAATTTACGGAAAAGACTTCTCAGTTAATGAACCCTACAAGCTAAGAAATAATAACCAATTACGACAGAAATACCATTGAAACAAATTTGACTAGAAAAATTGTACATTCTTTATCTGAGTAAAATAAACAAATCCACAATGACAAAGAAATCAGTATTTAGCTTACTACGAACATTAGAAAACATTATGACGTAAATTATTAATACCAACTACAGCTTTGAGACATATCTTGTGTGGATCAAGTGATAATACTCAGATACTCAAACTTAAATAGGTATTGTGAAGTTGGAGCCTCTGATCTAATTGTTGAAGACCAAATGCAGTGGAATTATTTTATACTATACAGATTACCTTGAACGACTCTAGGCATGACACCACGTTATTTACCGGTCGGAATGCATGCGATGTAAGTGAATAATTTCTATATGATCATGTAGTGTCGGTTGCTATATTAAGCTCATGTAGCTTATTCTGGCTTCAGAACAAGCCAATTTATTCATTCTTCTTGAGTCACATTTCGACTTTGTCAATTACTCACTCATCAAACTTAACTATTTTTATGTAAGCGTCTGTGTGTGCATTCCTTATTTTACTCATTACATGTCTGTAACTTATTTTCGTCTGACTATAAATATCGATTGACGCTTGATTATAACGAATTGGCTTATATACCTTCTGCATTACGCGTCATTTCGCTTCTCTCTATTCGATCGTTGTCTGGATCAATGATTGTATGAAATATACGTATTCAAATTTCATTCTCGTATCTGACTTATTTAATTTTGTTAATCACTAATAAAAGTTAAGTCGATGATTATAAACGATGATTGCCAGGATGTATATTCCGATAACAATCAAAAATGATCTAACTGAAATCAGATTAAAGGTCACAATGACATTAATGAGTATGATATTAATCTTTTGGATCAAATCTAATTTAATTGAAGTCAGTAAATTGTTGGGATATTCAGAAAAATATCTCAAAAAATTATCCTGTTAAGTCTAATGCTATCCTTCGACTTGAAATGGTGTCATTTTCCTATTGGTCAATATTTATTTCACGTGTCATTTTCCTATTGGCCAAATATTTTACAAATGTTATTTTCTATTTTATGGTACGATGTGCTCTACTTGATTGGTATATAAACAGAGTATGTTTGAAATATAATGATTCATATCGTAGAGACTGAGACTTGTGTTCTGGACGTAACTGACTGGGCTAGACTGGAAGCAAGGTCAATCAGAATTCTAGGCTGCTCATACGGGTTTACGCGTCATTGATCCGATCGATAAGTCAATGTTCTCTAATCGGCGATCATAAGTTATAACATAAATAAAAAATCTTACATTCATAAACACAATGACATAGAATTAATCTCTTTGAATTTTGTTTCACTTTTATGACAATAAACAATTCGTTCAATTGTACAATGATACCTGATTATCTCAGTTTTCAGAGTCACAAATGAAAAAAACAAACAGAAAATTATAATTTGAGAAAAAAAAGTTTTTATCTGATTTTTTTTGTATTTTATCTTCTCCTTCATAAAAAAATAAATTTCACTAAAAATAAATAAATAAACACTAATCATTCTGAATTACAGTAATAATAATAATAATAGGTTATCGACAAAAAAGGGGGCGATAAAAAAATCGACCAAAAAAAGGACTGAAAGCACAATAAGGCCGGGGGAAGGCATTGGCCATCATTAAAAGAAAATAATTACTAATATTATTACTATTGACAATAGTAATAGTAGTATTAGTATCATTTTCATACAGAAAAAAACCAAAACAAACACAATCCACCCATGATAAGATACATTCAAATCAAAGTGATTTAACGAAGAAAAAAGAAAAGTTAAAGTTAAACTATTATCTAACAATGATCAATAGAATTAAATATATGACTAAGAAAAACAAAACAAATAATTTTATAGCAGATATTAAAGGTATGTAAGTAGATAGTCATGGAAAGTCTAGATTTTTCCTGAATAAAAATTATTTTTAAAAAAGACAAATAAATAAGAATGAGAAGAATAACAAACTTGTATTCAGTAAAAAATGAAATAGTTGAAGATGAATTTATTACAATAAAAGTAACTACCACCATTGACGACAATAAAAGGAGAATTTAGGAAGAACGTAACCGACTAGGATGGGGAGGGATGGCAAAACATTGTCCAATATATACGTTTGCTTTATAAACTCATCATCATCATCAATTGAAATATCTGTTTTCGAAGAGGGTAATTTAATACTTTATTCATATAAATATATAAGCCAAACAAACAAGATCGATAACTGTAAAAAAATATCATACTTATTAGTAATAGACATGATTTTTTAAACGTGGAGCCAAGGGGAGGGGAAAAATGCTGCTTTGACTGAGGATATCTATCTACTGAAAGATACAACTAATAAAAAGAAAGAAAAAACTAACAATAATAATTATTGCTTCTTTTTTTGTTCCTTCCGCCTAATTTCTCTGGAGGGAAAAACAAAGAAAACGAAGCAAACGAGTAAAACACTTCAATATTGAATGAATCAATTCGAAAGAAAAACAAACAAACAAGCAAACAAACCAATTAGAATTAATCAATTAACAAGGAAATATCACATTGATCATAAATAAACAGATAAGTAAATAAATAAATAAATAAACAAAATAATCTGCAAAGTAATTTTTGTTTACTTTTCTTTTTTCTTCTTTTCACAAATTAATTGAAATTTAAATATGTATATTTATATATTTGGCAAGAAAAATAAAATTGACTACTATTTTTAAAATTATCATTCATTTTATTTATTTGACTAAAATCTTGAATATTGGATTTGTTTGCCTTACTTTCACTATGAAATTAGAAAGGAAAAAAAAGAGTAGAAATATGAATCAAGATGAGAATACATTGTCAGATTTTCTTTTCTTTTTTTTTTAAAAAAAATTGTTTTTCTCTTGTAATTAATTCTTGTTACTAAGGCAGAGGTTTATCTTTGTTTAAATATACTAAATAGAATTGATGGAAAGACAAAGAAAGGGGTGGAAATTATTGTGTACTTTGAAATAATAATAATAATAATAATAATAATAATAGACAAAACAACTTAACAACTAATATCATCACTATGGACGTTTATAATATTGAATAAACGAAAGACAAAGAAAATAATCATAAGAAAGAATGATAGTAACAATGGAAATAATAGAAAATAATATTCAATACTTATTTCATTTTATCTGAGTGAAATCAATAAGAAAGACAATTTCATATAATAAAGTTGTAAAGAAGAATTTTAATGTGTATGTGTTACGTGAACTGGCAGAATATGTGCGTGTATCCATACAAGAATTATATGATAATTATAGTTAAAATACTCATTTAAGCCTGTTACTCCTAGTGGAAGAGCTATAGGCCACCCCAACAGGAATAGTTACGATAATAATAATAACAATAATAGTGATAATCCAACAGACAAAGCAATGTAACACAGATCATAAATGAAAATATACAAAGTAGGTTGCTTCTTAAAATTTTATATGCTAATCTTTTTCTCACTAAAAATAGTTCTAGAAAATTTTTAACAAAAACACGAGAGAAAAGTAAAAAAGGGTAAATAAAGAAAATGATAGTGCAGAAGACGGGATGTTGTAATTTAGCGAGGAAAAAAAATCAGAAATGAATATTATGTAATTGTGTAATTTAAGCATTTACGTCTAAAAAACGATATTGATTACGTTGACCACGAATACGTTCTAATTTCCCAGAGACATAATACAATCTATATAATGTGAAATAAACAGACACAAACACAGAGACAGTGGTGAAATTGAATAAAGTCAATGGTTGATGATTACTAGAAGTTACTTAAGAAAGAGAAAATGACAAGACTTGTTCACAATGCTTTGAATTTCGATGGAGTTTTGTTCTCTGAGCTGGACGATTTGGTCGTGAAGCTTTCGTCATTATTTTGGATGACAAACTTCAGGTAGAATTGAAGTGTTCGAATTTCTCCACATATGGCTCACAGCTTGTCCTGTAGACCTCGATGTTGATTGGTTATTGTTGAGCTTTAACTTGTCATTGTTTACTTCTGTGAGTCATATGCGAAGAAATTCGAACACTTCAATTCTACCTGAAGTTTGTGCTGATGATGTCATTCAGAATAACGACGAAAGCCTCACGACCAAATCATCCAGCTTAGAGAACAAACCTTCATCAAAATCATCCACCTGAGCTACAAATCTTTTCCATCGTCTCAAATATTTTGAATGTTTAATATGTGTTATATTTAGTAGTTTTGCTCATTTTTCTATTTAGTTGGTAGGGGTGTTCTGAATAATGAAGTACAATTTTCAGGAAAGATTTCATTCATTTCAGGCGTTTGGAATTATACGCAATTGTCTGTTATAAACACATTATTGTAACGCGAACCAATATGTTAGAAAAAAGTAAATATAAAATGGAATCATTAATGAAAATTACACTCTTTTGAGATATCAGTTAGTGGCTGAAGGCAGCCAATAGAAAACCTTGGACCTAGAGTTTTTTGGTACTTGGAATTTATCAGTAAGGTGTGACTGTCATCTTGAGCGAACTGATATTCCTGATAGAATCTAACTCGCATCAAAGTTCGAGATATTATAACTGAGCAATTTTGGACGCAACTGACCTGTAGAAGTCAGATGTTTTTAATTGATTAGTTTATAAACTTAGGTAACCCAGGTTTAAGTTCAACAGAGAGCATCAGTTTCCTCGATTTTCAGACATTTTTCTGACGAGTGCCATGTGGTACAAATCCTGACTCGAGTTTCCTGTCGTTTACTTTTAACCACCGGACATCAAAACATAATGTGCAGTCATTTCGACTAAACATAACATTACAACTTAATCAATAGAATTCGACCAATACTAAACGATTAGACAAATATAACATTAATCACTAGTCACTAATCAACCAATTGAAAACTAAACATTAATATCTAGCACACAGCACAGTAACTCCTCCTGGAGTCCCTCCAGGGGCTACTGCCAGTCCCAAGCCCGGATAAAGGAGGAGGGTTGGGCATGGGGTTAGCAACCCCATCCCGTAGAAAACTAACTCGCTAAAAAAACGCTAACCAAAAAAAATTATTCAAACCTTTTAAACTCTGCCTTGGGAGTCAGAAGGTCTTCATTTAGAAGAACTATGACGCCTCATGATGAAAGCCGAATTCCTTCGGAAGTTACGAGGCCGATGCCCCTTCTGACAACCAGACCAACCATTTATTTAGGTACATCAAATGTTCGTACAATGTGGGACACCGGGATAGCCTTTCAAACCGCTGCAGAAATGAGGAGTTACAACCTAGAGGTGATTGGGATCAGTGAAACACACTGGACGCAAGTTGGATAACAACGACTAAATTCAGGAGAGCTTCTGTTATACTCCGGGCATGAAGAAGAAAATACTCCACACACACAAGGAGTTGCATTGATGCTGTCCAAACAAGCACAAAATGCACTGATAGGATGGGAATCCCATGGACCAAGGACCATCAAAGCCTCCTTCAAAACAAAGAAAGAGGGCATTTCAATGAACATCATCCAATGCTATGCGCCTACCAACGACTACAATGAAGACGCTAAAGATCAATTCTACGACAGGCTGCAGTCAATAATCGAGAAGTGCCCAACAAAGGATCTCACCATTCTGATGGGAGATTTCAATGCCAAGGTTGGAACGGACAACACTGGATAAGAAGACATCATGGGACGACACGGACTGGGAGAAAGGAACGAAAATGGTGAGAGATTTGCAAACCTATGTGTCTTCAATAAACTGGTCATAGGTGGCACCATATTCCCACATAGACGCATACACAAAACCACATGGACTTCACCAGATCACACCACGCAAAACCAAATCGACCATCTCTACATCAACAAAACGTTCAGGAGGACCATAGAGGACGTGAGAACCAAGAGAGGAGCTGATACAGCATCAGACCATCACTTGCTGGTCGCCAAGATGAAATTGAAACTCAAGAAGCACTGGACAATGGGGCGGACAATATCACAAAAGTTCAATACGAATTCAAGATAGTCCTCAACAACAAGTTCCAGGCCTTTCATGATCTACTCAATGGAGAAGGAACTACTGTGGAGAGCAACTGGAAGGAGATCAAAGAGGCAATCACTTCAACATGTCATGAGGTCCTGGGTCACAAGAAAAACCATCACAAGGAATGGATCACTGTTGATACACTGGATAAGATTCAAGAAAGGAGGAACAAGAAGGCAGCAATCAATACCAGTCGAACAAGAGCAGAAAAAGCCAAGGCACAAGCTGAATACACAGAAGTAAACAAACAAGTGAAGAGGAGCATCAGAACCGACAAACGTAAATATGTGGAAGATTTAGCAACGACGGCGGAAAAGGCTGCAAGAGAAGGAAACAACTGTATGACACGACAAAGAAACTCTCTGGAAATCGCCGCAAACCAGAACGACCAGTGAAAAGCAAGGAAGGCAAGGTAATCACCAACATTAAAGAACAACAAAACAGGTGGGTAGAACACTTCAAAGAACTCTTGAATCGACCAGCTCCACTGAACCCACCCAACATCGAAGCAGCACCCACGGACCTCCCAATCAATGTTGGCCCACCAACAATTGAAGAGATCAGCATGGCCATCAGACAAATCAAGAGTGGCAAAGCAGCAGGACCGGACAACATTCCAGCAGAGGCACTAAAAGCAGACGTAGCGGCAACTGCAAGGATACTCCACATTCTCTTCAATAAGATTTGGGATGAGGAACAAGTACCAACAAACTGGAAAGAAGGACTTCTGATCAAAATACCGAAGAAAGGCGATCTCAGCAAGTGTGATAACTACAGGGGCATCACTCTTCTCTCAATACCGGGAAAAGTCTTCAACAGGGTATTGTTAAACAGGATGAAGGACTGCGTAGACGCCCAACTTCGTGACCAACAGGCAGGATTCCGTAAGGATAGATCGTGTACAGACCAAATCGCAACTCTACGGATCATTGTGGAACAATCAATTGAATGGAATTCATCACTCTACATCAACTTCATTGACTACGAAAAGGCATTTGATAGCGTGGACAGAACAACACTATGGAAACTTCTTCGACACTACGGCGTGCCTCAGAAGATAGTCAATATCATACAGAACTCATATGATGGATTAAACTGCAAAATCGTGCATGGAGGACAGTTGACAAAGTCGTTCGAAGTAAAGACCGGTGTCAGGCAAGGTTGCTTACTCTCACCCTTTCTCTTTCTCCTGGTGATCGACTGGATCATGAAGACGTCAACATCTGAAGGGAAGCACGGGATACAATGGACATCTAGGATGCAGTTGGACGATCTAGACTTCGCAGATGATCTGGCCCTTCTATCCCAAACGCAACAACAAATGCAGGAGAAAACGACCAGTGTAGCAGCAGCCTCAGCAGCAGTAGGTCTCAATATACACAAAGGGAAAAGCAAGATTCCCCGATACAACACAGAATGCACCAATCCAATCAAAACTGACGGAGAAGATTTGGAAGATGTAAAAACCTTTACGTATTTGGGCAGCATCATTGATGAACAGGGTGGATCTGATGCAGATGTGAAGGCGCGGATCGGCAAAGCAAGAGCAGCATATTTACAACTGAGGAACATCTGGAACTCAAAGCAACTGTCAACCAACACAAAAGTCAGGATTTTAAATACAAATTTCAGAACGGTTCTACTGTATGGGGCAGAAACCTGGAGAACTACGAAAGCCATCATCCAGAAAATACAGGTGTTTATTAACAGTTGTCTACGCAAAATACTTCGGATCCGTTGGCCAGACACTATTAGCAACAACCTACTGTGGGAGAGAACAAACCAGATCCCAGCGGAGGAAGAAGTCAGGAAGAAGCGCTGGAAGTGGATAGGACACACATTGAGGAAAGCACCGAACTGCGTCACAAGACAAGCCCTCACATGGAATCCTCAAGGCCAAAGGAGAAGAGGAAGACCAAAGAACACATTACATCGAGAAATGGAGACAGATATGAGAAGAATGAACAAAAATTGGATAGAGCTGGAAAGGAAGGCCCAGGACAGAGTGGGTTGGAGAATGCTGATCTGCGGCCTATGCTCCATTAGGAGTAACAGGCGTAAGTAAGTAAGTAAGTAAACACAGCACAATATATGAGCGGAAAAGTCGTCGAAAGTGATGAATACAACAGAAAATATAACATTTACGACGTTGAGAACAATCTAATCTTGAACTAAACTAAGTAATAACTTACCTTAAACTACGACTAACCGATTCAAAAGTCATATTGACATTTTTACGATAATATCCCCATAATTGTGATAACTTTTGTGGATTTCTTATTTGAAAAATACGTGCTTGTTTATCAATCCATTGAACACAATTAAGATATTGTGAATTAGGATTGAATAAATGTAGTATAAATTCATCCGGTTGTTGATTAATTGAACAAAATGAACTTGTAGATGTTGTAGGAAATAATGATGAAAGTAATGCAGAGGATGATGATGATGACAATGACGATGAATTTGTGGAATTCGTTAAAGATGATGTTGATGAATCAGAAGAATATTGTAAAAGTTTACTAATAAATTGTAACAAATGCAAACGTTTATGAACAGGATTAGATATATTTATAGAATGATGGATTGAATTAGTTTTAGACTGGTTTTTACATGTTACAGAATTAGTAGTACTATTGCTAGTTAGTGTTGGTGTTATTGAAAATGAAGATAATGATGATGATGACGGTCGAATGGACGATGATTCATTATGTTCTTTTCGCATTGGAACAGGTGTATACATAAGACTATTTTCTTCACTTTCTAGAATATTTACAGTACCCTCAACATTCTTATTGTCGATAGTATTATTATCATTATTATAGAATAACTTTTCTCTTTGATTATTTGAAATTGATGGAGATAACTGAAATGTATAAGTGGATAATAAATCATGAGTAGGATATTGAACAGTTTGTCCTTGAGATGACGTAACAGTTTGATTAGATGGTAATTGCTGTACTATATCACTATTACTAAGAGAATAATCATAATGCATTGAAATTGGATGTGAATTATAGATTTGATCAATATGATTATTATTACAGGAAACGATTTCTTTGATAAGGAAGAGAAACGACGTTTAGATTGATGATAATAATGATGTAATTGTTGTTGGTGGTAGTGGTTGTTTTGATGATGATGATGCAATTGACGAGACCGTGTTAATGATGCAATGGAAGAACTGCTATTTACAATTGTACGATTATAAACATACTGTTTACGTGTGAATTTCATTTGCCATACAGGTTTACTAGTTCTGATTGATAATGATGAAATATGTGGTTGAGTTTGATGATCAATAAGTGAACTATTTGAACTTGTAAACAGTTTCACATATGGATTAGAAGTAGAAATAATAACAGTACTATCTGGAGCAATAGTATCAACGGAATTAGTAATAGTAGTAGCCCTACTATTACTACTACTAATAGCAGTAGTTGTAGAATTATTAGAAGATTTTGATGATACATTATCATTATTTAAATGATTATTCACCTGAATTGAGTTCATACAATTGTAGCATTGTTGTGATTTAAATGAACAACAAGAACTATTTGACGATGATGAAGAACATTCAATTGGAGATACTGTACTATAACAATTATTAATATTATTATTATTGTTACAATTATTAGCATATGAAGAAGTGGATGAATTTAAGAAATCCATTTCTGTAGGACTTGAACACATGGAATTACAATGATTATTGATGTATCCAATTGATGATGTAGAAGATGATGATGAGGAAGGAAGCATAAGTAACGTATCATATTCATGACATGAATTAGGTGAGTTATCTAAAGAGAAATTAAAAAAAAACAAATAAAAAGCGTGAGTAGTGATGAGGAAATTGATTATTTATAGATTACTTTCTATGTGGAGCATATCTATTTTAAAGAAATTTTTAAGTTAATTAATTTGTGGAATCCAGCTAAAGAAGAAATTAGGAAAAGAGGATGGAAGTGAATAGGACATACATTGAGGAGATTGTCAAACTATTGTGAATCGCGAGTTGGCTACTCTAAATTCTACCGATTGACAAGCTTCAGATATCCGAGTTCGACCCCTATACTGTTCCCAATCTCCAATATATCAGAACACGAACCGTAGATGTAAAATCGTTTATGGGGTCAGGAGCAGCAGAATAATGATTTACAAACAAATGCATATTTATACAGTTAGGATTACTATAAATATTGACCAACAGAAAGATGACACGTTAAATAATATTGACCAATAGGAAAATGACACGCGAAATAAATATTGATCAGTAGGGAAACGACCAATAGGGAAATGACACCATTTAACGTTCAAGGGTAGCGTTAGACTTAACCGGATAATTGTTTTTGGGATATTTTTCTGAGTATCCCAACACCTCCCCTTTGGAGAAGTTAATAGCGACGTAACCGAGGGTTTACTTGAAGTTTCTTTGGGTGTCTTCTTTTGCGATCCGACCTCCGAGGCAACCACACAGAACCAGAAGGATGTTCTACTTGAGTAGATGACTTAGTCGTCTCTGTTGGAGGTATTGGCGGAAGTTGAAACGTGTCCAACAGCAAGTCGAGTGGGACGTGTTTTGTAATTGCTTCTTTCTCCTTCGCTTCCCTTGACCTGAGTTGATTGTGGTGCCTGGTCCAGATTTCTTGGTTCACCTTGACATCATACATGACGTTCCCATGTTTTTGTGTGATTTCACCCTCTACCCATCTATCGCATCCGTGTCTATAATCTCGCGCATACACTTTTGTACCAACTTCGTAGGGAATTCGAGTATTCTTCATCTGGGGGCTTTGCTGGGCCACTTGCTTGGGTTTCATCGCACATGAACTGTCCGTAGCTTTCGCCCCATAAGCATCTCAGCAGGGGATTTGGAGTTTGGCAATAAGTCATGCGGGGTCGTCCGGTACGCAACTAGGAATCGTTCTATGATATCTTCTGTGGTCCCCTCCCCTCGTGCTTTAAGCATGGCTCGTTTAAATGTATCAACGAACCTTTCAGCTTGCCCATTAGATTGCGGGTGATATGGCGGAGAACGAACATGGTTGATCGAATTTTGCAGGCAAAATTCTCGGAATTGGCTAGATGTGAATTGTGAACCATTGTCTGTTACTATTGTTTCTGGAAGACCATGCTGCGCGAAGATCTGATTAAGGAGTTTGATGGTTCGAGTTGTAGAGGGTGGCGCAATCGGCAATATCTCCGGCCATTTGGAGTAGGAGTCAACCAGTATCAGGTATGTGGTACCATCTAGGGGTCCGGTGAAGTCAATATGCACTCGCGACCAGGGTTTTTCTGACTTTGGCCAGGGTACTGGAGGCAACTTAGGAGGATTTTTCGCAGCTTTTTGACAATGTGAACATCTTTTGACGAAGTCGACAATCTGCTTGTCCATATTCGGCCAATATGCATGGCTGCGAGCGATGGATTTCATACGGTTTATCCCTGGGTGTCCAGAGTGGAATTGGCGTAGGACTTTGGAACGTAGGGTTGTTGGAATTACTACGCGATCACCGAACATCAGACAATCGTTAACAATACAGAGAGCGCTGCGACGATTCGCTAGTTGTTGCATATCACCACTCAGCTGCTTAACTGGCCATCTGCTCTGAACATAGGTGATCGCTTCTTGGATAATCGGGTCTTCTCTGGTAGCTTCCCGAACATCTTCAGCGGTAACAGGCATTGCTCGAACGGCATTCGCTAATAGTGTAGCACCGGAATCCTCTTCGGTTGATACTATGGCTATGAGTGTGTCCTCATCAGTGGTAGAATGGTTACTGATAAGTCTGGACAGTGCATCCGCTTGACCAAAATCTTCGGAACGTCGATACTGGATGTCGAAGTCGTACCCCAATAACGCCAACGCCCAACGTTGAAGACGATTAGCAGAATGGGCAGGAATGCCTTTCTTTGATCCAAAGATTGATAACAACGGCTTGTGGTCTGTGAGCAAGGTGAAACGGCGCCCATAAATGAATTTGTGGAATCGCCGGACAGCAAAAATTAGGGCTAACGCTTCCTTCTCTATCTGGCCGTAGCGTTTCTCAGCAGGTGTTAGTGTTCTCGAAGCGTGCATCACCGCTTTTTCTGACCCGTCGGGAAAGACATGTGAGAGTACGGCACCCAGTCCATGTGTTGAAGCGTCAGCAGCAACCACAATGGGTAGTTTCGGATTGTAGTGGGTTAGCAGAAGATTGGAACTTAGCATGGCTTTAAGTTTTGAAAAGGCTGACTCACATTGCGTTGACCAATTCCAAGTAGCATTCTTTTCTAGCAGACGATTTAATGGATATCGTACGTCATGCAGTGATGGAAGAAATGCTGAATAGTAGCTAATCATTCCCAAAAATGATCGCAGTGAGGAGACATCAGTGGGGGCAGGCATTTGTTGGATTGCGTAAGTATTTTGAGGATCAGGGTGTCGTCCGGAAGCATCAAAGATAAACCCCAGGTACTTAACGAAACGTAAGAAGAATTGGCATTTTTCTGGGCGCAGGCGAAAACCATTATCCTGGAGGCGTTGCAGAACTAAGTGGGTTCTGGTATGCAATTCATCAGCAGTTGAGCCGACAATGAGCACATCGTCAAGGTATGTAGCAACACCAGGAACATCTGCCAGAATAGTGTCCATGATCTGCTGGAAGATCGCTGGAGCAGTTTTGATACCAAAGGGTAACCGGGTATACTGAAAAAGTCCTCGGTGAGTGTTGATTGTCAACAACTCTCTGGATTCGAGAGCGACTGGAATTTGAAGGTAAGCATCTGCCAGATCCAGCTTAGCAAAATAGGTACCACCATTTAAAATAGTAAATAAGTCATCTGGGATCGGCAGCGGATAGTGATGCTGTTGTAGAGCCGCGTTGAGTCCTGTGGAAAAGTCTGCACAGATGCGTATGGAACCATTGGATTTTTTTACAACCACAATTGGAGCAGCCCATGATGAATAAGAAACAGGTACTAGGACACCCTCAGTTTCCAAACGTTGAAGTTCAGCGTCAACCAGAGGTAAAGATGCGTATGGGACTGGACGCTTTGGGCGAAAAACTGGCGTAGCTTCTGACTGCAGTTTTAAAACAGCTTCAGTTGTGGAACAAAGTCCGAGACCAGGCTTAAATAGTTCAATAAATCGTTTTCGAAGGTCTTCAGCATGCTGTTGTGTAGAAGCAGTAGTTTGGACTTGATTGCAGATAGCGCTAATAGGAAGATCAGCGAGACCAAGTTCTTCGAACCAATCTAAACCTAAAAGGTTGAGCGGAGAATTGGTGATGTAGCATGTCCCATTGAAGGTTGTACCTCTGAATGAAATGCAGCAATAGAGTTCACCATGAAGGCGGAGATGACCCCCACAGGCACTGACGGCTGTCTGAGAGGATGGTTTGATGGGAGGTTGACCCAAGGTTCGCCAAGTCTTTTTCGACAGAATGGTGATATCTGATGCAGTGTCCAACTGCAAACGAACTGGCTGACCATTGATTGAGAGGGTCAGAAATTTGCGTCGAGTCGCGGCATGAGTATGGAATACTGCTGCTAAACTCCTTGATGAGGTAATCGGCTTTTTGTGAAAACGACGCTGCGTCTGTGCATTTCGACGGTTATTGTATCGGTTGGATTTGCAAAAGCCGCTTTTGTGACCAACTTTCTGACAGCGATCGCACACATGCTGTTTGAATGGACAGAACTTCACATAATGCCAGGCTCCACAGTGCCAACATGGCGAGGGGGGCTTCTTCTGAGCCGGTTTAGAGTGATTAGAGATAGAAACAGCGCTGGCGTTCGAAGGACTCGAGTTTGTCGATCTCGAAGATTTTTTCTGGTGCTGAACAGCATGAACTTCGGAACCACCCTGGCCCCCAGATTGGACCAAAGTGGTGTCACGCTGCAGATTGATGATACGCTGGTATTCGTCTATGATCGCATTAAGTGTCAGTGTTGGATCTTGTTCAAGGCGGTTAAGCAACCGAGTTCTGATGTCGGAGAATTTGGGTGACTGAAGACTGCATATGAGTATTAGGGACTTGAATTGGTCTTCAGTGAGGGATCTGAGCTTGAACCGTTCGCACTCACGGTTAACAACGCCGACGTGGGTCAGGAAGTCATCGGACTCATTCATGACCAGTTTTAAGCAGCGATATCGGGTACTGAAGAGTGAGTGATGATCACCAAAAAGTTGGCTAAGGGACTGAATAGTGGCGTCGAATGAACGGTCGCGTGGGTTCTGCGGTAGAATGAAGTTGCAATACTTATCCAGCTCGGATGGACCAAGTTTACGAAGAAGAAGACGCACCTTCCACGAATCATCTCTGTCAGCAAAGTCAACTTTGAAAAGGTCTTCATAACGTCTGAACCAGGTATCAAATGTAATGTTGGCATCAGGATCATAAAGAAATTCTGAAATACCACTGGTAATACCATCAACTGATTCAGGAATTGTCGGTGTAGTTGGGACTCGAGAAGATATGTGCGTCTGAGTAATCATCTCCATCAGCTTCAGCTGCTGTTCGAACAATTTTTCTAATTTGGCTGGATCCATAGTTATTCACCAACTTGTTGCTAAATCTCCGTCGCCAATTTATTGTGAATCGCGAGTTGGCTACTCTAAATTCTACCGATTGACAAGCTTCAGATATCCGAGTTCGACCCCTATACTGTTCCCAATCTCCAATATATCAGAACACGAACCGTAGATGTAAAATCGTTTATGGGGTCAGGAGCAGCAGAATAATGATTTACAAACAAATGCATATTTATACAGTTAGGATTACTATAAATATTGACCAACAGAAAGATGACACGTTAA